AGAGGCAACTTTCCAACTTTAAACTTTAGACTTGCAGTGGGTTGGTTTTTCAACAGCTCTACCAAGGTCACAACACTGATGCCTGAACCATTATACAGCGATGAGCACTTAGTCCTGAACTCACAAGTTCTTCCATAATTGAGCACTTAGCCACAATTTTGCTATATAGCATGAACTGTGTTTTTTGTTGTTGTTTTTTTTTAAACAAACTAAATAACCCAATGGATAACTGTTAAAATTCATCAAATTATCTATTTGCAAAAATTAAATTCACCAGACAGAAAATGAAAATTTGTTTTCTATTATTGTAGAATTATTCATGGAGAACTTGGAAAAAAACAGAAATCTTATTCCTATCTGACAAGCAATCTTCATTTCCAGCCAGTAATTTAATAGATTTATTGTTTCCTCAATAAATACTGGCAATCTTTATATGCAGAATGGAACCCAAAGAAATACAATTACACTAGCAGTTCTTTGCAATATTTTACAAAAAGAATTTATATGCAGAGTAAATATTCCAAGATATTTTCCCTTTAAATAAAACCACCTAGAATCATAAAAGTTTATTACGTAACCTTTCGATACTGTATTAAGGATGTCTAGAAATATATTCAATTTGACAGATTTTGGAAAAGTGCATCATATCACTGTTAAGCCATCAGCATCCCCAGAGCTGTGTAAAAATTGCTAGTGATTTTGTTTCTAAAAGCAGAAGATCAAAGAATGAATTGTCCACTTTCCTAATTTACATATAGAGAGCAGTTTAAGGCAGGTTAGAGATATCGAGTGGTTTCCTTATTGTTTATGTATCTAATTATAGCCAAAATTCATTTTTCACCTTAATTCTTTTGATTTGACAATGACAAATGTATATGAAATGATTTATCTAAAAATAACACATTTAATCTTTAGTAAAGCTGATTGGCCGCTTTAAGATGGACTAGGAAGTGGGAGTGGCATACCGATATAGAAGCTTTAACTCAATCTTTCTTTGGATGAAGAAAAGAAAATTTTTTTTTGCATTCTCATAGTCGATGCCAGATTTCAAGAGCAATATGGATACATTATTTATTGTAATTGTCATGTTTTGGAATAGCTTCAAGAAGGAATACAGTTGTTTGTGATACCTCAGACAAATTATGTATTATTCTTCTACAAATTAGTAACACTTCTTTCCTGAACAGAAAATATTTGTTTCCATCTGAAATCTTAATCAATACTGATTTTATTAATGAAAATCTATTGAATTTCACAAGCTCGGACGGATTAAAGAATCATATTTGACAAAATCTGATAAAATTAACTGAAAATATTTTCTGAATGAAGTATATAAAATAAAGTTAAAACAATCTCAGTCTGCAGATAGTAAGCAAAATGATTAAAATAAGGTTCTCACAGTCTATCATAATTTGCAGTATTCATTTTTTTTTCTTAAAAAAGCTATAGATGCAGCAGCAACTATGAGAATAAATTCTAGTTACATTTTGACTCTTAAGTCACCTCCATTCTCTTTTCTCATAAAAAGTTGTTGTTGTTAGTAAACATATAAATAAAGTAATTTAACCTGCCCAAAGCACTTAACAATAATTCAGATTAATTGCCTATAACTTGCCAGAATGTGCAGCCACTAACTCACTGACCAGCCATTTCTTGATCAGTTTTTTTTCTCAAATAGGCTGCTAAATACATCACATTTTTCTCCAGTAGGAATCAAATACATGTGTATTGGAAATAAAGAACCAATAATGTATTGTCTTTTGATCGATCAAAGCTCCAAATAAGCTTGTCTTAAGAAATACAAATGAGCTCTCTGAGTTGTCTTTAGGAAGGCTTATGTCCACTTTGTATCTATAGAAAAGCGTATTGATCTTGGAATATGGTATATGGACATCCTTTTTTCCTTTTAAATTGAATACCAGTCAGGAAAATACAGCTTTCCTATTGTCCAAATTTTGAATATTAGCTCTGAATAAGCCAATCAAATCAAAAAGGATTTAGACTGGGTTACCAACTGATTATTATTGACCAGTGTCTAAGATAAAACTCATGAGTGGCGGTATGCCACTCATACCCTAGGCAAACGGAGAATGAATTGTCCCAGAATTTAATCAAGATTCTGAAATAACAGTGTTGATAGAATTTTCCGCTGATATTTGACATTATTGTTTAAAGTAACAAAGGACATTTTAAGAGGTTTAAGCAACTGTAACACTGTCATACCTGATATAAGATCATACAATTGACATCAGTAGTATTTAGTTCCACTCAAAGTGCACTGAATAAGTCCTGAAAAATGTTATTGATCAATGACTCGTATAGTAGATTGCTTCAGTAATTAGAAATAGAAATTAGTGATTTGTGTTCACAAGAATGTTAACTAAATGAATTTCTTTAATCTGTAAAACATGCCCCCCACATGTTCACAATAGACGTCAGTAAGAGTGCTGTAACCAGTTTTTTCCTGTTCACCTGTGATAACCTATCAGAACTTCATAATCCAATAATGCAAAAAATACAAAATAAAAATGTTGTTTTTTTCATGAGGCTTACTATCTGCATTTTAGAGGAGTTCTAAAGATAAGAAGATTATCATGAGTCTTATAGTATTTTTATTTTCTAGAAGTAGATTAGTGAGATTATAATGCTGTAATGTTTCAAGAATTCCATTACTTTTTCCTAATATTCATAATGGTGGTCTTGATGATAAGTTTTTATGATGTTTTTTTAGATTCACGAGGTTTTGTTTTTCTCTGAGAATTTCCAAACCTATAAGCTGAATAGGTTTGATATGTTAAGCTTTATTATCAATACTGCTGAAACAAGAGTACCACACTTACAGAGTCATTGCCCTTTGTTACTTTTCCTTGTCCAGAGCATAACTTGAAAACTAAAGGCCGGGCAATATACACCCAAATGTAAATTTGTTTGAGTAATTTATAAAAATAATCTTGTTGTTTATACAGAAGTGTCCCAATCAAGAAACTTGTCTTAAAAATGTTTTATATGATATTATAATTATGACCTCCAAGACTGAGGCACTTTTTACTTTAGGTGCAAAATTCATAAAACGTTTAGGCAATGCTATTTCACCAAATATAGAAGCATAGTATTTATCCACAAAGAAAGTTAAGATGTGTTTTCCTATAACTTAGTCTACATAAAGTAAGTGACTCCTGGGGCAGGGCCAATTTTGACCCAAGGGTCATGATTAATATATAACTTTGCAGAAATCTACAACATGATGCTATATGTGCCAAATATCTAAGCTCTGGGCTTTGTAGTTTCCCTATATATCAGTTTATATAAATCAAGTGTCGGCTGGGTGGGCCAATATTTACCCAAGGGGTATGATTAATATCAGTTTTTCAGAGGTCCACAAGGTAATGCTATATGCTAAATATCTTAACTCTTGGCATTACAGTTTCACAAAATAAGACTAAAATGTGCTTTCTCTTGCAAGACCTTATCAACTAAGTGACCCCAGGGGCATGGCCAATATATATGGCCCATGAGGCATGATTTAAGTACCAATTTTGTAGATGCTTAGAATGTGTCAAATATCTAAACTCTAGGCAGTGTTACAGTTTTACCAAATTAAGACTTATTATTAAGTATGTGTTTTCCTATACAAAACTGTATCCAGGGTTGGGGCCAATATTATTGACCATAGGGGCATGATTTCCAGTTATTTTGTGGTCCACAAAGTGATGTTACATTCGGAATATCTAGGCTCTAGGCATAGTACGTTTCACACTTTAAGTTTAATGCTTTTAATAAACACTTGTAATCCATGTTAAATTTATATTTGAAAATATCAACCTGTTTTCTCTCTAAGGTAGATAGATATTAATCTAGTAACAACTGTTCCAGACAAACAGTAGATGTTCTGTTGTAAATCTCTCATCTTGTATGATCACTAAAAAGATTATCTATAGTGAATGAATCTCTAAACAAACACATCAAACATGAGTAATGCTTTCACCTGTTACAAAATTGTACTAATGCATTAAAGCACCTGTTTCATGTACACAGATTGAGTGAAAATTAATAAAAAGGTAATTAATTATTTTTAAATGACAACTTGCTTTGAAGTAAAAATGTAACAATTTTCACAATTGGGTTGACTTTATCATGCATTAAAGCACATATCTCATGTACTAATTGACAAAGTACAAATTTAGCCTATACATTAAAGCACATATCTATTGTACTAAATGACAGAATAGGAAAATAATATCTGAGAACTTTTTATTGTAAATGCTTTTACAGAAACAACATCTTTTCACTAAGTTGGCGTGTATTAAAGCACATAATATTTCTCGTGATCTTGCAAAATTTCTGAACTCAACTGATGAATTCTATTAAGAATTATACTGCACTAAATTTGTATACAGTGCACACATTTTTCTTTGACAGTCTTAATTTAATGTCAATGATTTTAATATTAAAATGATAAAATGCAGCATCAAATACAAATAATCTGGACTGACTGCACAGATGTGCTGAGGCTGTGCTATCTATAGACTAGCTATTTAAATCATTTAAAGAATAAGAAATTTTAACAAACAGACCTATAATATGCAGGTATTTAAGCACCTGTGATATAAAGAAAGCACAATTTAAGTCTCCTTAGTTACAAAATTTTACAACCTCATTCCATAGTAATGATTAATTGCTCAAAACTTAAAGTGTCAATTAAAGCAACTACCTTATACATGAGGATGCTTTTTCAGATAAAGTCTCCAAATAACATTATTTTTCATCAAGCCTTCGGCTTCACATGTACAAAATAGCATTTCATTTTGAATTTATGGTTTAAGTCGCGTATTCAAAGGTTTAAATTTTCCGCTATATCGCGGACATGCGCGTGACTACCGGAAGTAATAACCGGAAGCATGAAACACATGTTTTCACTTTTTGTTTTGGCGTTGTGGTTGTCGCGTGTTCTTAAAAGTTTAAGTTATTTTAAAACTTATTTTACGTTTAACCGCATTAATATGGCCCAAGAGGCTCTTCTCGATAGGATAGACCTTCATGCTTTGGGTGAGGAGGGAGATTTTTCTGGGTTTTCGGACCAAGAAATTACCGGTAAGAAAGAGAAAAAGTCTTCGGACAAAAAACGGTTAAAATCCGTCGTGGTGGAGAAAGAAAATAAACCCCCTCGTGGTAAAGGCAAAAAACAGTCAGGTAATACTTTGAATACTATTTCTTCGGAAATATCGGACAGAAATTTATCCTCGGATAAATTTGATTTGAAAAAATTATCTAATAAGGATATTGAAGGTCTTAGGACTCTTCTTGGTATACAGCCTGTTGTTCAACAGAATCCTCAGTTTCTCCATGATTGTGATAACTATGACTATAATGAGGATAATTATGATTATATGGATGATGAATCTGTGAATGATAACTATTCTGCTGTTCCTGCAGCATTAAAACCTAACCTTAGGGTGGAGGTTGCTGCCCAAGATGTTGATATTGAAGATACAGGGATTCGTAATCTGTCAAAAGATTTTTCTTCGGCTTTTGATGATGGTTGTACTGATAATAGACTTGAGTCGGATAGTGATACATGGGATCTTCCCAAATTAAAGATACCAGAGAAAGGTGAGCCAGTGAATGAGTCCTTGGCCAATTTAATTAACACGGCATTTACTGCCCAGTGTGACTTAGACTCTATTTTGAATAAGTACCAAGTACCTAAGAATTGTGATAGGGCCATTCCGCCCATTGTTAACCAGGAAATATGGAAAACATTAGACAAAAGAGCCCATTTTCAAGATAAGTTTATGGTGGACATACAAAATCTTGTGGTTTCGGGCCTAGGTCCAGTTGTTAAGTTGCTTGAGTTTGTGAAAAAGAACAATCTTATGAAAAACGAGGCAAAATGTATCTTCTCTGACCTGTTTACTGTTCTGGGTCAGGTGCAATACAACCTCAGTTTGAGGAGGAGATATCTTATAAGACCGTATTTGAAGAAGAAGTATTCTTCATTGTGTAGTATTTCGATGCCTATAACAACCAAACTTTTTGGTGACGATGTTTCAAAAGAAGTCAAAAGTTGTGATGCTTTATCGTACATTGGTAAGGATTATACTTACAGCAATTATAGAGGTGTTCAGCGTAGACGCTCTGGTCGAGGATTTGTTAACTCAAATTTTAGTAATTACGGCTACCAGTCATCTACATACAATCAGCGTTCTGGCTTTAGGACTAGACCGTATCCGTTACGTGGACAATCTTTCAAGATTGGTCTAGGCGGACGAGGAAGAGGTATGAGAAGAGGTGCCTTGGCTTCTGCTACAGCCAGTGCCCCAAACGATCAGGAATAAATGAAAGGGTAAGTCAAGTTGGACGTACACAGTATTTTTTAAGTGTATGGAAAAAATTTACCTCAGATCCTTGGATCTTGAATGCAGTTTCGAGGTATAAGATAGATTTTAATGAAAATCCTTTTCAAAGAAGCATTCCTAATGAAATTCCTTTTTGTTCAGATCAAAAAACAATTGTTCATAATGAAATTCAAGATTTGTTGAAAAAAGGAGCAATTATTAAATCAGAATCAGAGATTGATCAATTTATTTCAACAATATTTATTGTTCCTAAACCTAATAATAAATTTCGACCAGTTATAAACTTGAGATTTTTAAATGAGTTCGTACAATATAGTCATTTTAAACAGGAAACATTTTCTATTGTTTTGGATTTGATTAAACAAAATGATTTTATGACAAAAGTTGATTTATCTGATGCATATTTCTCTATTCCTATACATCCTTCACACTGGAAATATTTGAAGTTTTCATTCAATTCTATTTTATACTCATTTGTATGTTTACCATTTGGTTTGAAAATAGCCCCATATTTGTTTACTAAAGTATTACGTCCCATTTTTGCTTGGTTTAGACAGCAAGATATACGCTGTTCTTATTATATTGATGATTCTATTAATTTCAATGAGTTGTCACATGTGTGTTTGAATAATACGGTTACTATTACAAAGACATTACAGAGTTTAGGATTTACTATAAATGAGAAAAAGTCTGTGCTAATCCCTTGTCAGAGAATTATTTTCTTTGGTCATATTATTGATACAGTTCAATTCAAGGTATTTTTGACTGATGAAAAAGTACAGAAAATTATGTCGAAAGCATCCTATTTATTGCAACATGAGGTTGTTTTGGTCAGACAGTTGGCATCTTTTATAGGTGTGATAGTTAGTTCTTTTTATGCAATTTTAGAAGGGCCACTACATTATAGAGCCCTTGAAAGAAACAAGTTGATAGGTTTAGGTCAAACTATGAATTTTGATAATAAAGTTAGTTTGTCTACGAAAAGTATTCAAGAAATTCAATGGTGGTTACAAAACGTGAAGAATAAAAATGGTAAAAGAATCAGGCCTATTTCTGTATCCAGAAGGTGTTTTACAGATGCGTCGATGGAAGGTTATGGTGGAATAGACCTGATTTCTGGCTTGCACACACAAGGCAGATGGAAAAATCAGGAATGTGGTTATCATATTAATTATTTGGAACTCCTTGCAGTTTTTTACTGCATGCAAGCATTTTACAATGAATTTTGTGATATTCATATTGAGATTCATTCAGATTCTGTTTCAGTGGTAACTTACATAAATAATTTTGGTGGTATGAATTCTTTGGAATTAGATGACCTTTCAAAATGTTTATGGGAATGGTGTTTAAGTAGAAATATATATATTTCTGCTGTACATGTCCCTGGTAAATTAAATAAAAGTGCTGATTATTATTCTAGAAATTTTTCAGATTCCACTGAATGGACATTGAAAAAAGATATTTTTGAAAGATTATGTAGTCACACATTTATGCCTAACATAGACCTTTTTGCTTCTAGACTTAATAATCACTTACCTAAATTTGTTTCATGGTTTCCCGAACCAGGGGCTTACGCAGTTAATGCTTTTTCATTATCATGGAAGGATATGATACCATACATCTTTCCTCCATTTAATTTAATTGGGAAAGTACTAAATAAAATTGTTATTGATGAGGTTGATAGAGCTCTAATGGTTGTTCCTTTTTGGTTCACACAACCTTGGTTCCCTATTCTACTTGAAAACCTTTGTGATTTTCCTATCAGGTTACCCAGACACAGAGATCTTCTAGTTTTGCCGCACAATGGAACATTACACCCATTAGGAAGAAAATTAAAAATGATTGGAGTGGTGTTATCAGGGAAAGCCTGCAGAGTAAGGGAATTTCATCAAATGTTGCAGATTTCATCACGGAATCTTGGTCACAGGGCACAAGAAAACAGTATAGCAGTGCCTGGAAAAGATGGTATATGTGGAATTCTATTAGATGTTCCAGTCCAATTTGTTCGTCTGAAGGTGTAGTCGTGAGTTACCTGTATTTTTTATTTCAATCTGGTATGTCATATTCGGTTATAAATCTTCATAAAGCGATGTTAATGCAAACATTGTCCTTATTGGGAAATACATGGTGTAGTGACAACAAAATGATTGTAAGATTCATGAGAAGTGTATTTTTACATAAACCGGCTAAACCGCGTTATATAATGATTTGGGATGTTTCTGTTGTTTTGTGTTATTTACAAAAGTTAATGCCATTATCTAGGTTATCTTTGAAATTATTAACTTTTAAAACCTTAGCCTTGATTGCTCTTGCAACTGCACCAAGAGCTCAGACTTTGTGTTCTTTAACTTTAGACAATATGTTTATTTAACAACAGGCAGTTGTTTTCACATTCACGGATATTTTGAAGACATCCAAGACAGGTCAATATTACTCTATAAGGATAGAGCATTATCTGGAAGAAAATATGTCCAATGCATACTCTACTTTATTATGTTAAAAAGACTGCTGATATTAGAAAAAGTAAAAAGGTGTTTGTTTCATATGTTACCTTTAATGCTGTTTCTTCGAGCACTTTTGGCAAGATGGTTAAAAAATGTGTTAAGTTTAGCAGGGATTGATATAACTAAATATAAGGCGCATTCTTATAGAGGAGCATCAGCTTCGGCTGCCTATAATAAAGGATGTTCAATAAGGGAGATTTTAAAAACTGCTGATTGGAAATCATCTAAAAATTTTCATAAGTTTTATTGTAGAAACTTAGAATCTGGTATTTCTTATAATGATGCTGTTTTTGGAACATAGAATATTTTTGGGGTATTAAACTTGGAAAATATTTGTTTTTTGTTGCCTTTAAAGATGCTATTTTGTACATGTGAAGCCGAAGGCTTGATGAAAAATAATGGACCCCATCCAAGCTTTAGTGCAGGATGGAGGGCATTATTTGAATAAAGCCGGAGGCTGAGCATGTACAAACCCTCCCTTGTGTATAGTATCATAGTATGTGATTAATGTCTTATTATATAATATAGAGGTTTTAACCCTCCCTTAGTTGCTTTATTGCAACAAAAAACACTCTTTAAATGAGTGAAAACATGTGTTTCATGCTTCCGGTTATTACTTCCGGTAGTCACGCGCATGTCCGTGATATAGCGGGAAATTTAAACCTTTGAATACGCGACTTAAACCATAAATTCAAAATGAAATGCTATTTTGTACATGCTCAGCCTCCGGCTTTATTCAAATAATGCCCTCCATCCTGCACTAAAGCTTGGATGGGGGTCCATTTTATCACAAATTTATTACAAATCCAATGAAGGCCTTCCATCTGATGATAAAATTTCTCTGAGCTAATGACCTAGGTCTGAAAAAATGTCCAACAATTCTGTGCCAGTAATATGTTATAATAATCTGAGATTATAAGATAAAAAAGCATTTCATAAACTCTTTAAATCCAAAAGTGTTTTTTCGAACCCCAGTAAGAACATTTCAAACCCCAGTACAAACAATCTTTTGCAGTTAAAGCTTCAAGGTGCTGTACAACCCATCATAAATTAGTAAACCTGTAACTGTAAAAGTTTGATTGAACTTTTTGATCAGCTAGGAAAACCTAAAAAATAAATTTAATTCCTGAGTAAGTCTATTGTCAAAGTTAACATATTCAGATTCCTACTTCTTCAATAACATTATAGCTGTCTGAAAGACATTATGCTCCTGACTATTCATTCTCAGTACTTTTTGATACACAGGTCATTGATAACTTTAAGGAAAAAAGTACAAAATAATTTTATAAAAAAACCATGACAGAGTTTATAATGTTCTCTTGTTGAAAGTCATATTTAATAAGTATTTGGGGCATATCTCAAAGAGTTTAGTGAAATGATGGGTGGTGCAATATACCTAATCTTAAACTGCCTAGATAAAAAAAGGAGCCTTAGTTTGTCAAAATCTATGACACAGTTATGTAATATCTGTACAATTGATAATGATTATAATCAGTATTTCAAGTGGGTAAGAAAAGTTATAAAAATACAAGTTTTAAATTAAAAACTGAGTGATGAAGAGATAGGAATAATGAACAACAGGTTTAACAGCAACCAAATTTGATGAACAAGTCTGGTTTCAGTGATATCATCATCTTCTTCAATAGGGTAATGGGAGATACTAAAACATAAACAAGAGGGCCATGATGGCCCTGAAGTCGCTCCCTGTATATAGGCCCCCGGAGCATGGCCACTTTAAACACCAGGGCTTTTATTTGAACAAACTTGGTAGGCACCCATTAGAATATGTTTCATGCTAAACATCTAAGGTCTAGCTCGTTGGGTTTTTTAAAAAGAAGACTTTTTAAAGTTTTTTCTTTACACACATAGTTAAAAACAATGACACACCTGGGGCAGGGCCAGTTTTGACCCCAGGGCTTTTATTTGAACAATCTTTGTAGACACTTGAAAATGTTTCATGCTTAATATCTAAACTCTAGCTATTCGGGTTTTTTCAAAAAAGATTTTAAGTTTTTGCTATACACATTTAAGGAAAATCAATGTCCCCCGGGGCGGGGCCAATTTTGAACCCAGGACTTTTATTTGAACAAACTTTGTAGACACTCACTAGAAGAAGCTTCGTGCTTAATATCTAAACTCTAGCTATTTGAGTTTTTTCAAAGAAGATTTTTTAAATTTTTGCTATACACATATAAGGAAAAAGAATGACCCCCGGGCCGGGCCAATTTTGACCCCAGGGCTTTTATTTGAACAAACTTTGTAGACACTCACTAGAAGATGTTTCATGCTTTGTATCTAAACTCTAGCTATTTGATTTTTTTCAAAGAAGTTTAAATGCTATAATGTACACATATAAGGAAAATCAATGACCCCCGGGGCAGGCCAATTTGAACCCAGGGCTCTTATTTGAACAAACTTGGTAGACATCCATTAGAAAATGTTTCATGCTAAATATCTTAGCTCTAGCTCTTTGGGTTCTTTAAAAGAAGATTTTTTTAAGTTTTTACTATATGCATAAAGGGAAAATCAATGACCCCCTGGGGCTGGGCCAATTTTGACCCCAGGGCTTTTATTTGAACAAAAATCATAGACACCTATTAGAAGATGTTTCATGTCTAGCTCTTTGGGTTCTTTAAAAGAAGATTTTTAAGTTTTTACTATATGCATATAGGTAAAATCAATGATCCCCTGGGGCGGGGCCAATTTTGACCCAAGGGCTTTTATTTGAACAAACTTTGTAGACACCCATTAGAAGATGTTTCATGCTAAATATTTTAGCTCTAGCTCTTTGGGTTCTTTAAAAGAAGATTTTTTAAAGTTTTTACTATATGCATTAAGGGAAATTCAATGACCCCCTGGGGTCGGGCCAATTTTGACTTTTATTTGAACAAACTATGTATACACTCACTAGTAGATGTTTCATGCCAAATTATCTAAGCTCTAGCTCTTTGGGTTTTTTTAGAAGAAGATATTTAAAGTTTTTTCTTTCGGTTGCCATGGCAACCAGAGTTCTGCATGGAATTAAATTCTTTGAACAATTTTGAAAGGTGACCACCAAAGGAACATTCCTGTGAAGTTTGGATGAAATTGGTTTATGAGAAGATGTCATTTAAAGTAAAAGGTTACGGATGCCGGACAGACGGTCGGATGCCGGACAGACGGCCGGACGCCGGACGAAAAGCGATCACAAAAGCTCACCCTGTCACTTTGTGACAGGTGAGCTAAAAACAACAGAAGATGCTGACATGATTGACTCACAGATGGTGATATTGACATCCTATAGAATGAGTATGATTATTTTCTCCCTCACTTCGTTTGTCCGAAAATAAAATATTTCTTTTCTAAAAATACCTTCTAAATAAACAACAACAGCCGATAATTGTACATATAGCATGGGCTGGCTACCATTTCGATTTATTTCATTAATCATACAAGAACAAAACCATTGAAAAAGAGTTCAGCAGTTAACATCTGATAATATAAAACACTATATTGTCAACTATATAACTAAATGTAATAAACATGTTCTCTGAATAATGTCTTCCATATTAGTTATATATTCCACCAGATTAATCACATAAACAAGTACACCAGAAAGCCAGAACACTGCGAGCCGGCTGCTTCAACCCAAACCTGAATATTTATCTTTTTAACCCCCAAACTTTTTTTTTTTTTTTTTTTTTTTTTTTTTAAATTTGAGGGGGACGGGGAAGTAGAAGGTAGGTATCCGAGGCTACAAACAGTTGAGTGTACCTTTCACCCCTGACCTCCTGAAAAGGACCTATACTTAAATTTGGAAAAAAAAAAATTACTGAGTAAAAAACAACCTTCCTTATAGTAGCTAACCTCGAAAGTGATTTCTGGCGCTAATAACCCACCAATAGCACGTGCGTTATCTACCCCAATGAGCTAAATACCGAAAAGAAAAGAAATTATAATTCTCCCTATAGGTATTTATTCAAAGTAGATCTTACAATAATAATAAAAACTAACTTACAATAATGATAAAAAAAAAACTTACAATAATAATAAAAAAAAAAATAATTATAAACAAGAGGGCCATGATGGCCCTGGATTGCTCCCCTGACCCATCAACCGCATCCAGGCAATGTCATAGACAAGCATCCTGGCCAAGTTTGACAATTGAGTTAAAAATGTGACCTCTAGTGTGTTAAAAATGTTTTCCATATTTGGGCAATGTGACCTTATTTTTGGCTTGAGACGACTCATATTCAAACTTGACCTAAAAATCATCAAAACAACCTTTCTGACAAATTTCCAGGATATTTGGATCAAAACTGCAGCCACTACAGTGTTAAAAGGATTTTTCTATTTTTAGCTTCTATGACCTAAATTTTGACCGGAGATGATCCATCTTCGAACTTGACCTAGAAATCATCAAAACAACCTTCAAAACTGCACCCACTAGAGTGTTAACAAGCTTTTTCTATTTTTAGCTCCTGTGACCTAGTTTTTAACCGGAAATGACCCATCTTCGAACTTGACCTAGAAATCATCAACACAACCTTCCTGACAAATTTCCAGAATATTTGGATCAAAACTGCAGCCACTAGAGTGTTAACAAGCTTTTTCTATTTATAGCTCCTGTGACCTAGTTTTTGACTGGAGATGATCCATCTTCGAACTTGACCATGAAATCATCAAAACAACCTTCCTGACAAAGTTCGCTAATATTTTTATCAAAACTGCAGCCACTAGAGTGTTAACAAGCTTTATCTATTTTTAGCTCCTGTGACCTAGTTTTTGACCCCAGGTGACCCATCTTTAAACTTGATCTAGAAATCATCAAAACAACCTTCCTGACAAATTTCCAGAATATTTGAATCAAAAATGCA